AACACACTGGGTGCCCAGCGCCCGGTCCACTCTACTCTACTCTACGGTCATGCAGTGCGACCCGCAGCACTTGCCTGTCCGTGGCCGCCGTCACGTGCTTGGTCAGCACGTGCAGTGTGACACCTGCAGCGCCAAGGATCGACCGACTGATTGGCATCGATGTTGGTGAATGATGAGGCCGTGCAGCTTGGACTGGGCCACATCGAGGCCCAGGCGAGAGGCCAGGCGCAGCGGCGCATCAAGCTGCAGCGTGGAAAATGGCCATTTAGCGGGAAACACGCTCAGTCCCGGGTGTCCCGGCGGCGCGAGTGAGCACTAGAGAGAGACGCACTGAATAGCAATTTTCTGTGTAGGACTGTCTGGCATGGCCTAAGAAGTGAGAGCTGTAAGGTGTGAATCGACCGTTGATGAGTTGGCATGTACGCTGGGGGAGCACGCCAGGATTAGATGCACGCAGGTTTGGGCATCAATCTTGCAGCACAGGCACCTGTGCGCCCCTCACGCAATCGCTGGCGTTGCCGCAGGCTGCAAGGAGTGGGATTCGCGGCGCACGTGTCAGCAGGCCTTCTATCGGCCGGGTTGTGGCCGTCTCACTCGAACACAAGCGGCGGCAGCTAGCAGTGCGCCGGCGGGCGCAATTCGTCCGCAAGGACGAGATACATTGCCGGATCGTCCGACGCAACTACAGCAGGGTGCGCTTCTCGCCACAGGCTGCAGTGGCCACTGGTCCTCCCTAGTGCTGACCAGCGAGATCCCAGCTACCGTACAGTGGAACTGCTACTGCGTCTTGACGCGCTTATCTAATCATCAAATGTGATGTGGTCTTATATTTCAAGTCCTTTTCTAATTCAACACGTTGAAGTCATGACATCGGGGTTGTGCTAATAGATCAGTTGTGATCTCGGACGATTCCGCCCCAGCATTTTCGTGGGACGGGGAGTCTCTTTCTATCCCATGTTGGCCCCTCTCCTTCCCGACGGGGTGGTGGAGGAGGAGGTGCAACGCGCCGTCGTGCACCTGGACGGGGGCGCCGTTGGCGAGCTTGTGCTGCACATGCCCTCGGGCGGGGTGACCTACGTGCCAGTTCAGGTCAGTGGCGGTTGCAGCGCCTGGTACAAAGCTCATGGTTGGAGCTGCTCTGTGCGTGCCGCAGGCAGCGATGCATGCCCGCGCACCAGCACGACTCAAATTCCATCATCACGGTCGCGTCGCAGCAACCAACTCCCCTGTGTTGGGGCCTCGCTGGCGGCTGGCACGTTCAACGGCACGAGGTGCGCTGACCGCCAGCGGGAAGCGCTGCGGCCGTGCCGCAGGGCTGCAGCGCTCCTGCGTAGGAGTGCAGCGCCCGGCTTGCAGCTAGCGCAGACGCCGGGGAAGCTGCCCGGCGCAGCTGCCTCGCGTCATCCGCCCGACATCCCTCTCCACGCATCCCCAGATCCCCGGAGAGTCTGTAGTAGGTGCAGCGCTCGAGGGCCCCACCACACTGCGCATCTGGTGAGCCGCCTCCCCATTTTGCGAGGCGTCAGGCTGCAGCACGCATTACGCCTCGCTGCCGCCGGCGCTGCTGACCTGCGGTCGCGTCCGATCGCGTCCCCGAGCAACCAGCAGCCTCCATGCCGCTAGGAAGTCGAGTTGATTCTTCCCAGCCTGTCATGCAATCGGCAGCCTGTCTGTCAGCTCGTCAGCAAACGCTCTTGTCCGCAAGGCATGAGCGCACCGGAGCCCCCGCACTCGTCACCCCCCTCGCCCTCGCCGCAGGCACTGCCACCGCTCGCGGTCGCTGCGCAAGACGCCGCCGCTCCACTGCGCCAGCGGCCAGGAGGCGGCGCGGCTGGTGGCGGCGGTGCGGGCGGCGTGCTGCTGGTGGGGGCGCGGGCGACCGCCTAGGGTGCTGGCCATCGTAGAGCCACAGTGAGCCGTTTGGGGGGGTTACAGGCCCGCCGCTGGGGGGGAGGGGGGAGGAGGCGAGGCGGACCTCGCAGCCGCGCCTAGCCTGCGGCTCAGCGCCGCAGCGGTCGCCGACAGGGCACGCGCCACGCCCGGAAGCACAGGCGCCCAAGCCAGCACGTGCATGCATGCGCACACGCACGGGCACGCATGCGCACGCGCACGCGCAGCCGCAGGCTCACACACACGCCACTCCCGCGCTGCATTTGCACCCAGGGCCATGCGCACCTTCACGCGCCGGGTGCTGCCAATCTGGGAGGGCGCGGCCGGCCTCGAGGTCACCGCAGCCCCCACGCGCGGCCCCGGCCACGCCGCCGAGGTGGCCGCCTCCGCCGACCCGCAGGCTTTTGAAATCGTCGCGGTCTGCGGCTGCGACGCGGCGTTCTCCGAGGCGGCGCAGGGCGTCCTGGGCAGGCCGGACTGGCGGGAAGCCGCGCGGCAGCTGCCGCTCGCGCACGTGCCCGTCCCGCGCGTGCGGCTCGAGGCCGCGCGTGCCGCCCTCTCCCGATCCGGCGCCGGCGCCGGTGGCGACAAGGGCGGAGGCGGCGTGCGACTGGCACACGCAGTGGGGATCTCGGGCCCAGTGTCGGGTGCGTGGGCAGTGGTGAAGCGCGCGGTTGCGCCGCGCGACGTGGCGTCGGTGCTGCAGCCGCCGGCGCCGCGGCGCTTCATGCTGCTGTCACTGGAGGCGGGCGGCGGCGCATTGGTGAGCGCGTGGGCGGGCAGAGTGTCGATGTGTGAGGCGACTTGATGCGGCGCGGATGGCTGGCTGAGTTTGTGCTCAGCACCTGTGTGGCCGACATCCCACGATATTGATGCAAACCCCTTGACGCAACAGTATGTGCTGTGGTATCATGTGCGTGCTCTCGCTGGCACAATCGGGCTGCTTGCAATTGTTCATGCATGGAAACTGCCGCCAAACCAGAATCCCTATGTATTAGCGCTTCTGCAAATCCACTACTCCTCAATTCCTTCGTTTTGTTTCAAAGGACATCATTTTGAACCGCACACTGACGGTCGACGCCACCTGGCTGCCCGGCCGCGCCCCCGCTGCACCGGTCGACCTGCCGGCCCGCGGCCGCGGGGCACTCGCGCCTGCCGACGGCGGCGACGAGCCCGCAGCGGCGGCGGCCCCAAGGAGCGGTGGCGGCGCCGCCGCCGCCGGCGACGACGGCCCGCCGCTCTTGCTCGTGCGGCGG